CCGGCGGACGCGGTCCGCACGGCCCTACACCGCCACCATGCAATCAAGGGCGTGCAGGGAAGAAGAACACGGTGAAGCAGTTCTTTGAACTAAAACTGCGGGGGGGGGGAAAAAAAAACGTTATAGCAGAGGATGGTTTCGATCCATCGACCTCTGGGTTATGGGCCCAGCACGCTTCCGCTGCGCCACTCTGCTACCTCCTAAACGTGTTGCCAACGCCTTATATCTAGGCACTACTCAGTCCTGTTGTCATTTATTTATATTCATGTGTTTCCTATCTGTTAACTGCTTTCTAGGCCACCTGACTCCACCACCTGCTTCATCACAAGCACACATGTGCACATGCAGCAGGTCTCACAACTGGCCCCAAGACTGCCTTGTCCCCAGAACAGGCCCCTCTGATCCTCCTAGCACCCAGACTGGGACTGGGTATGGTATTGACTTAGGGTATGTTCAATACTCAGCCCACAAGCCCCTATCCCCCATGCTCAATGTTCACCACCAAGTGCATATCACAGAGTCACAGAACTGTAGGGGTTGGAAGGGACCTCCAGAGATCACCGAGTCCAACCCCCCTGCCAAAGCAGGTTCCCTACAGCAGGTCGCACAGGTCGGCATCCAGGCAGGTCTTGAACATCTCCAGAGAAGGAGACTCCCCCACCTCCCTGCAGCCTGTTCCAGTGCTCCGTCACCTCACTGTAAAGAAGTTCTTGCGCACATTTGTGCGGAACTTCCTATGCTGCAGTTTCCAGCCGTTTCCCCTCGTCCTGTCTCCACTCACCGCTGAAAACAGTCTGGCCTCGCCATTCTGCCCCCCACACCTTAGATATTTATAGACCTGGATCAGGTCCCCTCTCATTCTCTTCTCAAGGCTGAACAGACCCAGTTCACTCAGCCTTTCCTCATAGGAGAAGCCCTTCACCATCTTTGTGGCCCTCCGCTGGACTCTTTCCAAGAGATCCCTGTCTTTTTTTACTGGGGAGCCCAGAACTGGACGCAGTGCTCCAGATGAGGTCTTACCAGGGCAGAGTAGAGGGGGAGGATCACCTCCTTCGACCTGCTGGACACGCTCTTTTTAATGCACCCCAGGATGCCATTGGCCTTTTGGCCACAAGAGCACACTGCTGGCTCATGGCCGACCTGTCGTCTACCAGGACATCCAGGTCCCTCTCTGCAGAGCTCCTCTGCAGCAGCTCATCCCCCAACCTGTACTTGTGCATGCAATTATTCCTCCCCAGATGCAAGACTCTACACTTGCTTTTGTTAAACCTCATCCGTTTTTTTTCTGCCCATCTCTCCAGCCTGTCCAGGTCTCACTGAATGGCAGCACAGCCTTCAGGCGTGTCAGCCAATCCTCCCAACTTTGTATCATCAGCAAACTTGCTGAGGATGGCCACTATCCCCTCATCAAGGTCGTTGATGAAGATGTTGAACAATGGACACCACCACCCCTCAGCAGTGATCCTCCTCAGTCCAAGAGATGATCTGAAGAGCCACTTCCATTGACCATCATGACAGGTGCCCTTGGGGCAGGCACGAGTGCATCCAACTAGGCAGTTTGCTGGCACTGTGATGATTCCTGGTGTCCACTTGCTTATCCTTGTTCCTCCACTTCTCTTCAGTCTTGGAGAAGAGCCTTTAATCATGTCACCAAACAATGTTCTGTGCAGGGGAACCTACCTGCAACTCCCTTAAGGGGAATGCTTCCAAGGGGATTCTTACCTTCCCATACACACACACAGTTCTAAGGAATGCTCCCACTGGGGGGAAGAGAGGGGGGGGAAATCTGCATAGCCTATACCACAGACATCCATTAACATGCCTCCTTGCAGCCTCAGGATTGTGCTTCTCCAAAACACCCCTTATTTCTGCAACAAGGACAGTCCTGGTCCTCCTTCTTCCCTCAGTGCCACAGTTCTGGGAGAGAAACAGGCAAGAAAGACCAGCCTTAGCTCCTGTCTCTACCATCCCCAGCCTTCCTTGCCCTCTCCTTGCTAGTCCTTGCACTAGTCCTAGACACTTTTCATCACTCATGTTGTCTTGGCCCTCCTAGCACACCCCACACACCAGCTTCAGGATTAAGCATACTAACTAAATACATTATTATTATTATTACTTCAGACTGATCCTTTTCTACCAATCTCCTCTGTTCCTTCTTCTCCACCTTTCCCCTGCACACCTCCATGGCTTTGCAGAGCTCTACAGCTTCTTTATCTTACAGTCTGTGCCCCCTTGGTTCACAGTCTCATCTGTTGCAGTGTTTATCCTCCCTGGAAGCAATACCTGTAGCTTGTCAGCTCACCAATCAGTTTGACTGGGAGCTCTGCTTCTTGTGATTTTTTCCCACCTCAAAAATCCTCCATCAGATTACCTGGCAGGAATAAGCATTCCTACATCCTTGCCTGCTCTCATAAATCAGTGTGACTGACCAGACTTGGCTCTCATCAGTGCTTCCCTTTCACATTTAAAAAATGTCCATGACCAAATACCTTTAAAACAGACACTCTCCTGTATACCCTTAAAGTTCTGCAGAGCCAGAACTTTAAGAGAAGTTAAAGTTCTGGCTCTGCAGAGCCAGAGTTAGGCTCTGAGAAAGAGAAGTTAGGAGAAAAATTGGATGCAGTCGCAATAAAGGTTGGACATGGGACCGTGGCTCAAGATGCAGCTTGAGGGAGAGGAAGAGCTGTAAGGCAAGGGTCAGGGATGCAGCTCTAGGTCATTGGAAAGGATCACTCAAGCTTGGAAGCGACCTTGAATATCAACCTCTTGAGTCCCTCTTTCCTCCTTGATCTTATTCCATGAGGCTCTTGGGTTTCTTCAGAGATCCATTTGCAAGGCTTGCTCTCCTAAAGCCTAACACTGCAATCTTGCTTTGTGCCCTGCTGACTCTTTGAACTCCACCACCTTATGACCACTGCAGCCAAAGCCACTTTTAAGTTCCCTATTCCCAGTGAGCTCTTCCCTGCCAACCAGTTGGAAGTCCAGCAGAGAATCTCATGGGCTCTTCTGTACCACATGGGTCAGAAATTTGTCACTGATGCTCTCCAGGACCAATTAGGCCTTGCTGTGCTGCTGTACAATCAATAAACGTTCAGAGGTTAGGCTAAGTAGGATTGTCACAGTGGAACAATAAATGAAAAATGTTTCATCTACTTCTTAGCTTCTCAGCCTTGTCTACCACTCCCATGCCCTGGACTAGCAATCCAAGACCTCCATATTCAGGTGCAATAGGTTCCAGGTTGACCTTCCTACCATCATCAGAACTTGTATGGAAAAATAACAGGGAATAATACTTAAAAGAGTCAAACAACCTTTAACAATCTCACCACAACATCCCAGACCTGTGCCCCCACCAAGCAGAACTGTCCTCTAGACAACAGGGCAAGCCATCCCTCCCCCACAGCAGGGACTGATGGTGCCTCACTTGCTGCAAACATTTGGAAGGGACAGGATATTATTCAGCAAGGTAATAGGGAAAAGAGAGCAGGACAATCTTCTCAGGAAAACAGGCAATCAGGAAAAGATGAGCATCGATCCACAGACTGTGGAAGACACTGCAAAAGCTTGAAAGCAGTAGGTAGGTACAACATAGGACTTATCTTGAGATGCAGAGGGGTAAACAGAACAAATGGAGACACTAAACCAGCTAGAGAGAGGAGGTAGTGAACATGAAAGCAAGAACCAACTCTGTTGTTAGGTACTATTTATTCTCAGGATCATAGAATTGTTTGAGCTGGAAGGCACTCTTTTGAGTCACATCTCCAGTCTGCTCAACCTTCTAGGGACAAAAAGCATCAGTCAGGGTTCTTTCAAAGGAAAAAACAGCTGTACAGTTGCTCTTCTTCCACCAGCAAATTCAACTAGGACAACCATTACATTTGCCTTTCTTAGGCAGCGTGATTTTTCAGCTTTTCTTGGGGGCATAGGGGTGGAAATAGGTGCACCTCCTTGCACATAGATCAGAGCAGGACATCCCAGACCTTATAAAGATGAAAAAGGTCATAAGCTATCTCACTTGGATGCCCTTCAAAGTATACTACTGCCAGCTATTGACTACTTTGCTCCCATTTCTAACTCCCCCTGAAAAGTCCCAATGTCCATAGACAGACTTTTCATTCCCACAGCTCTTCAACAGAGTATTTCACACTCATACCAACACTAGCAAAATTCCTTAATTATGCAGGGCTGACAGACCAAAATGTCTGTGAAACCTCCATGACTCTCGGAAACATTACCTATCCCTCACCAATAACAGAGGCACTCTATCCTGAATAGGGAAATGGATTTCATTAACAGCTGCTGAGTTACCAAGGCCACAGCAGGGCACTGTCTGGATATGCTGTGAAGTGATGAACGACAACACTGAACACTAACAAGTCCACTTAGCTGTTTTAACTGCATGCATGTACCTTACACTAAGTGATGAAGCTTTTCTCTTCCTTTATCTGGCGTAGCCCTTCTTTAACCTGGCTCATTAGGCAATGAGTTCTGTAACAATAAATGAGTAATCACATTAGCATAATTAGGACTGCTGTACCATCATGCTCACACGAGGGGTCAAAGTGGTTTTCACGGTAAGATGCTAAAACCCACCTGAGCATACAGTGAAGTGACAAGGTAACCATCAGCTGCAGAGCAAGAAAATAGCCCCATCAGACAGTCAGGTTTCCAGTGCAAGCTACCATCATTGCAAAGCTCTTTAACAATATATGACCTACTGTGACACTACAGCACTCTTAATGCAGCAACAGATTTTTTCAGCTCATAAAACTAGAATGAATATATTAAACTGAGTCTTAAGGAAGGAGGCAGTGAGAAGCACTGGTTTGTAAATGAGTTACTACGACTCTGCAGCAACTTCAGCCCCACTTCAGGTACTTCTAAGCATCCAGCATCTTTCTTCATATCAGGAACCTCCACAGAACACCAAGTAGTCTGCACTGACAACATAATTTTTTGGAAATAAGAATAAAAAAAAGAAAACAGCCATAATCCATGAGTTACAAATAATGTTTGCCAGTTTAATAGATACAACATAAACAATTTTACAGGCATGGCTTATATACATCTTCAAGCATCAAAATTCATCGTTGCCAAGGTCTTAGCTACTGTTGCCTCCACTGTTCTTTCCAGAAGCTCCTGCTTTCTGCAGCCGGCTTGCACTTGGCTGCCGAGGCATCCTCTGTGCAGATCCTTCCCGGCCGCTCCTTTCTACGAGAACCTGGGCCCCACTGACAGCAGAACTGCTTTTATTTCTCCCTGAAAGAACAAATGCATACATTATGGGTGACGCATAGGCCTGACGCTACAGCATCTAAGCTGCAAGCATTCCTTAAGTAATCACGCAAAAGGCTAATTAGATTAGATGTATTAGATGTTGCAGATGTATCCAGCATCCAACATAGAAAGCAAAATTGTGAAATCAGGGCCACAACAACAAAATGAGTTGCAGTAGGAGCATTAGAAATTCAAGTTTTAATCTACAAAGTAACCCGCCACTTTGTTCTTTAAATACTTGCTTTCATTTGGCATAGGAAGACCAGCACTGCAAACAGCAATTCAAGGACATGAAGAGCATCAAACACCTCAAGTCTGGGATAAGTGAACTGATGTGCCACTGCCCACCTCTTTCTGAAGCCTGTAGTCACAAAATCCGGAGACAAGAAACCCTTCTGCTCACATCACTTGTGACTTGATGAACAAGTTTGGGTTTCCTATCACTGTCTGCAATTTCCAGGAGCCCAGATGCCTCTACGATGAGCTACTCTCAACTTTTTTTACTGTGTTCAGAACATAAGAGTTGCAATTCCATAGGCACAAGTAACTATCTCTGTCTGCAGTGTAATGTGACAGAAGAGAGAAGCAAATGGCTAGAAAGGTCAAAGTTGAAGAAAGCAATGGCCACACAGCCCACCCTGCCAGATTCAGCAAGAGGGGAAAGACTGACAGACAAAGGTGTGCTGCAAACCAATAGCACAAGGGGGTAAGTGTGGAACACTGATGTTTGCTGACATCAGGGAGAATTACTTCAGATGAGAAGTAATACTTGCATTAGGAAAGATTAAAAACAAAAGACCAAAGAAACAATGCAGAGGGGCTACAAGAGCTACACAGCTTTTATTAAGGACAGTATGCTCCCAAAAGCATCACTAAACATGAACACAGTAAGGAGGAAACAACACAGGAATCCAGTCAGCTGTTTTCCTCTGAGTCTGCTTAGTTACATGCATGTAATGAAAATGGAGAGCAACATTTAAGTTATTGTATCAGAGCAACTTCCAGAATGCCACTAGCTTCTGCACACACAGGACTCTCTGTGGCTACCTGGATCATCCTGGAACATCCTGTGCTACCAAAGAGCACAGACCAGAGGTGTACCTGCTTTACTTACCCAACTGCCCCATCTGTTTGGAGTAACTGAGAACAACACTCACATCAATACCACAGGCTAACACCTCACAGTACAGGAAAGACAACTAACTTCCAAACAAAGGGTATGAGAACTTCCAAACAAAGGGTATGGCCCCTTCTTATCTGTAAAATTTGATGGATTAGAGTAGCAAAAGAAATACATTCACTTATCCCAGCCAAATCAGGTGTTCTACAATGTCTCTTTCTGTAAGTCACACTAACGATCTACCAGCAGTTATCAGCCCAAGCCAGCCAACCAGCCTTGCATTTTTTCTTTGTATAGCTCAAGCTTGTAAGCACGTCAGCAGTTTGAGTAATGTGAGTACCATCAATGGAAATAAACAAACTGCACAAAGGCAATACACGACCTCATGGTATTTATGAGAAAAACTGGCACAAAGGATTGGAGCCCACCACGATGCTGTTAGCAGACCAGCACGTCTCTATGTAAGTGAGGGCTCTCCCCTTCCTCACATGCCAACGTGCAGAAAGAGTGCACGTTCTCAGCCTGCACCTGTGGACTAATTAACTACATCCACGTACAAGCAATTGCAGCATTAAGTGCTACCAGAAGCCAGGCACTTGATCTTCTGACCTAGCTGAAAAAACCTGGGGAGAAAGAACCTCTTTGTGAAAGAAAGCTATTCTCAGACAAAACACACACTGACTTCCACCCTCTTAGCCTTCAAATCACAACAAAACAAAACAGTTACTTCAACAGCATAAGAACCAGCCGTATTTTTGGAAGCATCATCTCTAGAGCTGTGCACCGAACCAAAGTAGCCCATAAAGCACGCAACGACAGGCATGGCCGGTGAACCTGCCAGTTACAACACTATGGTGATATCAGGGCTCCTGACTGCAGAACGCAGAAGTTTACTACCAAAAGCTCTGCAACTCAAGTACGACAGACTAGCGAAAGGATTCCACTGATAGTCAGCTCGCTGACACAAGATACCCTTATCCTGGATGTGCCTCGCTGTCCTGCAACAACTGTAGCCCAAATAACGAACGCATGTCATGTCTGACTTGCCTCTCATTTGAGGCCATATCTGCGCAAATATGATCCCCCAAAAAAGCAGCTGTATTTGCACCTTCTCAAGAACCTGACACAGTATGAGGAGAGCAGACGTGTGTGCCCCATTTAGCTCAGTGCTAGCTCTGTCCCATTCAAAAAGGTCAGAGCAAACTGTGCATGGGCTTTAAACTCCCCAAAATTCTGGTCCTGTTATTGTCTTGCAGCAGGGACCCAGCAAGCAAGCTGGCCTTCCTAGAAAATTAAATATGGATGAAAAATCAGTTTATAAGAGTGCAAGTCTCTCTTTCTTGCAATCACAAAGGGATTACCAGGACTCAACTTTTGCCCACCCATCGGAGGTGAGCACAGCAATGAGACTTACACAGCTAGTCCTCTTTCTTCAAACCAATCCCAGTATATAGCTACGGCTCTTCATTCTCAATCTCTCCAGGTCTCCAAAGCTGCTGAAATATTCCTAACAGCTCATACAAACGTGGCACGCAGGGCTTACCCCAGAGCCAAGACACCCTGTTAAAGCAGCCTCCCTGCAAAGACACAAGCACGATTGGCAGAGTATGTTTCAAATAATCCACTGGAACAGTCTTGAAACCAAGGAAGAGGAAAAATAAGTTTTCAAATGCACCTGTTAAAGGAGTTTGCTATGACAGCATGCATGAAGCTAAATGGAGCAGTGGGTCATTATTTAAACATGTGCCTTCTCTTGCACACACACACATCTGAAGAGAAGTCAGAGAGGAAACACAAGGCTGTGACCTACATAGGCCACAAAAGACCTGAATAAAACCTACAATCTCAAGCCAGTATTCAGCTGGATTATTAGGCAGCACTACAACTGCAAGCTTAAATTAACACACCAAGTGCCAAATCCTGTTCAATAACTTTCAAAGAATAGGATTTCACAGCATTTCCTACTGAACAGTAGCCTGTTCAAAACCATTTCCTTCTGCTTCTCTAAGAAGGTTGCTTTGCTGGCTTTCATTATCACACATGTGAATCTCATTTCCTCCACTTCTCTTGTGTGCAAATCACAGAAGAGATGGAGAAGACGTTCCATACCTTTCACAGAGCTCTATTCAGTCTACCAGCAAGACTTTCTGGGTGTTTTTAGGTTGGTCGAGGGGAGAGAAAGTGAATGAATTAATTGCTGTTCATAATGAACCTCCACCTCGTTATTTTGCCAAAGCCACAAATTACAAGTCTGGCATTCGGAGTATTCCTCTAAATCCCATTTCACTGTCAATTCTTACCTCACAGAGAAAGAATATATATACATAGATACATGAAAGCTTAATAACTCTCAAAAAGACACACTGAAAGTGATCCCCGTACAGTGTTCAAAACAGCTCCCAGCACAGCAAAGAGTTGGCTCAAATATCCAGCTCAGAGAATGCCTTGCAGCTCCAGGAGAGACTGCAGACATCCTGTGCATGAACAGAAGAGATGCCTACACCAGCCAGAGAAGGCCAATCCTCTTTGCAACTTATTCACACTGACAGCACCATCGAGATTAAGACAAATCCTTAATATCTCTGAAGGGATTCCCTCCACCATATTCAAGTTGCACACAGCATTGACCTTGATGACAACTTTCTCTCCTTAACAAAGAAGCTTGCATTACAAATCTAGCATCTAGAGGAACTTTGGGACAATAGAAGGCTGAGTAAGCAGAAGGTGGGTATAAGAGGGCTCCAAAGAAGACAGCTCAGCCAGCCAGCAGAATCCAGGAGTGGTAACTATCACTGGGGGTCCTTGCAACAACAATGGTCATTCTAAAACACTGACCACAGCTTGAAAAAGATCCAGAAGCCTTGAGACAAAAAAAAAAAAAAAAAAAAAATTAAAATTAAAAAAAAATCTCATGTTAACAGCTCATTTGGTACTAAAAATGAGTTGGGCAAGCCCTTGGAAAGCCACTTTATAAAATACATTTGGGCTGAAAAGTAGGAAAATGTGAAAAAATAGATGAAAAGACTGAGAGGGCCATCAAAAAATATTAATGAGTCTAGGGAAAAGAAATAAAAGAGCAGGGCATCGACAAATGCCTGTCAATAGAGATAGAAAACCACTGGCAGCTTGAGGACAAGGTGGCATGATGGGAAAAGCTATCATGGAAACAATATAAGAAAAACCATATTTAACTAAATAGTAAATTATACACACACCTCATCTAGATTAAAACCAACACTACTGTCCTAATGGGTATGCACACATCTCCCCTGCACGACAGAGAAATTGCCCAAAGCACATCCTTCCCCTTTAAAATAAGCACCAAATCAGTTACTGTGACAAAGCTCTGAATGCAGCTTGCACGAGGCTGTACCTAGCTAAACACGCCAGACAGATGCACCAACTCACAGTTATTTTGAGACAGCTATGAATTGTTACCAGTGAACAACTCCAAGCAGAACATCACAGTTTAAAGTGGTTATATTCTATGGGAAAACACAATACAAAGCATGAGATTCCCTGCTGCTTAAGAGCTTTAGCTGCAAGAAAGCTGAAATAACTACTACAAGGGCGATGCATCTTTTCACCACTACACCAGTCACAATGATCAGCAAAACAATCTTGACCTGCTTTAAGAAACCTCCCTTCATCACGATGAGCTGAGAAGCCTACGCCGGTACATCACTGCCCCTGATAAAACTTGAACAGAGCAGCCTCAGCTGATGCGTAGCAAGACCCGGATTACTGCAGCCACGTGTCTGCCTTCTGACAGGAGGAAGCACAGGAGAAAGGGCAGACAGGCAGCGCCGAAGAACACCGTGCGAAGCAGCTTGGCAAGCTTATAGAGGACAATCACTGCATTCTGTATCAGCACAAGGAGCTCTGGCTTGGTCAGCAGACAAGTCCCAGCTAAGCAGTGGGCATCTCCCATTTCCCAGTGCCTTGTCCTGTGCAGAAGCCACACCATCCTCTTCTTAAACAGAAGGAGCATCTTCCAACAGGAGCTGGCAGGGCACGCAGCAGATACAGCTTTGGTTCCCTTTCCCCGCAGCAGTTCCTAAAGGGAAAGGAGGCAAGGCAAACCAAACACTCCTGCAGAACAGACCCGGCACAGAGGATACCCCCAGTCACCCTGTTAGCACTTACCCCAAACTCCTGAACTGGGCCACTGACGGTGGACTGTGCCCAGAACCAGAAAGCTTACGGAACAAGGAAGCCCGATTCCTCCTCCTCTTCAGTTTGAGCTAACTAGTTGCTTCCCCACTTTAAGGAGAGAGAATTAGTCTGCTGAAGATTTGTTCATTTTAATGGGATCTTTATGTCAACACCAGTTTTCCTCAGGGCTCCAGTAAAGCTCCTGCTCAACAGGCAGATAACTCACATCCTCCTTTGATCTAAGATGCATTAAAAGACACACTGGCACCAGTGGCCTGGTTGTGTTACACCATCACCAGTTCTCACAAACCAACCCCCTCTCTGGAAGTCTGTTTCCATGACCTTCAACCAGAAATACTAAACATCTTCCTCTGACACTACAGGCACATCGCCCCAAGTGTGGACATCACCCGTGGTGTCTGACACAAGTTGTACAGAAGTGCAAATGTATTTGACGACCATCTGAGGTCAGGCTGAGCACTGAACTAAGGCAGCCCCTCTGCAGCTGAGTCAAAGCAAGGACAGATGTCTCCCACCTGAGAGGCTGCAGAAATACATCCTCAGAAGGAGGTCTTGAGGGGGGGAAAATAAAAACAAAAAAACAAACACATCCTCTTTTCTCGATGTTAAGGAGATTTTATAGTCACAGAAGTAAGGGTGCTTGTGACAAGACACTGCCATGACAAGTTCTGCCCAAAGAATGTTCTGAGGGCTAGCCTGTCACTGGTGATTCTAGTCACAGAGGAATTAGCTGCTGTTCATCATCAGCAAGTCTGGCTGATGGCAAACTTGCTTGGGCTGATAGAAACCAGAGTTCTCATTCAAGGTTAGCTACTGCTCTGAGTCCTGATGCACCAAAAGCTCTCAGAAAATTAAAAAACAAAAAAACAAAAAAAAAACACCTAAAAACCAGATGCAGCTGGAAAGACCAAGCCTTCCAGCAAAGCAGCACAAACATCCACTAGCATTTGTGGTGAGACAGGCGACCACAGCATCCCTCTGCCAGGAGCACTGAGCACCAGTTCAGTGCCACTTTCAGAAAAGCTTTCTCTGCAGATACAGGACAAAACACTAAAACAGTGGTTTGAAGAGCACAATCCTCCTGTCTTAGTAAGCTGTGTGTGATCCAGTGGCACAGTGCATCAACTAGCCCTGCAGGCACGTTCCAGCCTCATGAAATAATGCAGAAATGTGAAATAAAGCAGCAGTGAGACACACAGAAGACCAATTTAACACTGTATTTCCCACAAGTGACACCAAGCCAGTGCCAGCTTTCCCTGAGCTTCCCCTGCACTTCACCAGCTCAGTACAACATACTCAAGGGTACCAATGTGTTGGTTTTAAGGAAAAAACACAAGCCTGGAAGGCCGGTAGCAGAGACACAGAGATGCAGGCAGAGCCGACAGGAGATGCTCCTGCAGCAATGGAGAGGGAACTGACTGAAGGCCCCAAGACCGACACTAATTCCTGGAAGTTTGCCATCTCTTCAATGCATTTCAGCCCCTCAGGCTGATGGGAGGCAAGTGATAAGGGCAGACCAAGTTTGTCCATAGGGTTTTTGGCTTTTCCTCTCGAGGAAGTAATGCTGTTCACAAAAAGGGACCGTTCAGCCTGCAGACCCGAGCTGGCCTAGCGCTATCCTGAAGCAGCTCACAGCAGCGGCCCGGCGCGAAAAGAACATCCGAGTGCCAAACCTCCCTCACCCTGCTCAAGTCGTTTTCTTTTACCCCTGCGCATATTAAAGTCACGTGAGGCTACACGCGAGGCTCTTTACTGTAAGCGTCCTCTCACCGAGCAGCCCGCAACCGAGAGCATCTCCTCCAGCAGGAGGGAGGAGCCCATCCGCGGGGCGCAGGCCGCGCACTGCAGTCCTCGCTTAGAAACACCGAGAGCGACGGAGAAGGGGACGCGAGGACAGCATCCAGCGCGGCCTCCTCCGTCTGCGCAGCCGAGCACCCGAGCCCGCCCCGCAGCGCCGAGCAGCGAAGCGCACCCGCCGCCGGCGCTCACGCCGCTTCTCGGCCTCGCGACCCGCCGGCCGGGCCCGCGCCCCTCAGTGCCACGCCTTTAAGCACAAAGGAAGCGAGGGCTCCGGCACGGCGGGTCCGGGCGCAGCCCGAGGAGCCGCAGCACCGCCGTCTCACACGGAGCGGGCGCCCCGCGCCCCCCTCGGGGCCGCCTCCCTGGGGGCCGCCCCCCGGGCCGGCAGCCGCAGCCCCCGCCGCGCGGCCCCGAACCCCCGGCCCTGCGGAGCGGCAGCCGGAGCGCCCAGGGGCGGCCCCGGGGCGGGGCGGGAAGCGGGCGGCGCCGAAAGGCAGCGGGGCGACGGGCGGGCGAAGCGCGGAGGCCGCAGGGCGGAGGAGAAGGCGGGCGCGTCCTCGGGGAGCTCCGGGGGAGACGCGGAGAGGGGAGGGCCCGCCGCTCGGCCCCTACCTCGGCTGTCGGCGGGCGGCGCGGCGGGGGGGGCGCTCTCGGGGCCCGCCGGCAGCCGCTGCCCCGCGCACATGGACTTCAGCACCTGGAAGACCGCGAGCGGCGCCACGTTCATGCGCAGCAGGTCCAGCAGCACCCTGCGGGCGGGGCGGAATCAGCGCGGGGCCGGGAGGCTCGTTCGCGCCCCGCCCCGGCCCCGCGCCGCCGCTCACTTGAACACCTCCGGGTCCAGCCCGCTGCCCGCCGCCTGAGCCAGCTCGAACAGCTCCGCCTCCTCCGCGCTCAGCACCTTCCGCCGCGGCCGAGCGGACGCCGACACCGCCGCCGACACCGCCGCCTTCCCCGGCGCCGCACCCGACATGGCCGCCCCGCGCCGCCGCCCGACCCGCGCGCCGGATCCCGAGGCCCCGCCCCTCACGGCGAAGCCTCGCCCCCTCACCGCCTGGCCCCGGCCCTGCCCGTCTCTCCCGCAGCCGGCAGGCGGCAGCCGCGCCTCAGCCCATGGTTACCTGTCGGCTCCCGCAGGCGGTTTGCGCACCGTTTCCTTCGTTCCCTGTTCGTGCAGAACTGGACGGTTTCTCTGGAATTCCCTTTGGTCTCCCTTGCAGCGGGCTCTGAGCTTGCATGCCGTCTTCCCTTGGACTTTGCCTTCCCTGAGGGGAAGGTACCGCCTTGCTCCTGAGCAGCACCTTTAACAAAACCGTAGAATCACAGGATCGTTTGAGTTGGAAGGGACCTTTAAACGTCATCTGGTCCAACTCCCTGCAGTGCACAGGGGCTCCCACAGCACATCAGACGCTCAGCGGCCACAGCCTGGCGCTGAGTGTCTGCGGGGACGGGGCACCACCGCCTCTCTGGGCACCCTGTGCCACTGCCCCGCTGCCCTTAGTGTCAAAAACTTCTTATATCCAACCTCAATCTGCCCTCTCCTACTTTGAAACCACTTCCACTCATCCTGTCACAACAGACCCTGATAAACAGTCTGTCTCCTCCCTTCTTACCTGTAGCCTTTTTCTTTACCCTTTTCTTACCTTTATCCTTTAGCCACTTTAGCAACAGGCTGCTCACAGGACTCCCTGGAGCTTTCTGCTGTCTGGGCTGCGTAGTCCCAGCTCTCAGCCTGTCCTCATATGGAGGTGTTCCATCCCTGGAATCGTTTTTGTGGCCCTCCTCTGGATGCGCTCCAACAGCTCCACGTTTCTCCTGTGCTGAGGTCTCCCCATCTGGATGCAGCACTCCAGGTGAGATCTCACAGCGCAGAGCAGAGGGACAGATCCCCCCCTCACTCTGCTGGCCACATTTCTTTTGATGCAGCCCAGGATATGTTGGCTTTCTGGGCTGTGAGGGCACAGTGCTGGCTCATGTCCAGCAGCCTTTTTGGCAGGGCTGCTCTCAATCCTTTCATTCCCCAGTTTGTATTGGTGATGGGGGTTACCTTGACTCAGGTGCAGACCTTGCACTTGGCTTTGTTGAACTCCACGAGGTTCTCTTGTGCCCACTGTTCAGCCTTTCTGGGTCTCTCTGATTGTTATCCCACCCCTTGGGCCTGTCACCACACCACACATCTTGGTGTTATCCACAAACTGATGAGGGTGCACTCGATCCTGCTTGTCAGTGTCATTGAAGAAGATACTAAAGAGCATCAGTCCCAGGACTGACTGCTGAGGGACACCATTTGTCACCAATCTCCACCCGGACAATGAGCCACTGGTCACCAAAAGTCTTCCTGAAGGCATCCTCCATTGCTGCTGAGCACCTGCCCCAAGACTTCAATGCAGTGCCTGCAGTCGTACCCCTGAGGCTGTGACACTCCACCCTGACTCTGGGCAAGGGTGAGATCAGGGGGCTGATAGGTGGGGAAGGTGCTTTGGGCCCTAGGCAGGGCAGCGGGTGTCAGTGTGTGGCAGGAGCCATGCAGCCACATGTGCAAGCTGCCCGGGGAGCTAAAAATGGATAAACAGTCGCTGACTGTCCTCTTGTGCTAGGGCACAGCACCTTAAACGTGTCTCAGTTCCCAAGCCAGCAGAGAGCATCTGGCTTCACACAATAAAGCAAATTGGAAATTTGGGTCTTGAGTTGCAAGGAGACATCAAGCTGAGATTGAAATTCCTCCATCTAAATGGAAATCAGCATCGCTTCTGCCATGAGGGAGGGATCACCTGCTCCACTCTCCACACGGCAGAGACCGCAGGCATAGCAGCTGCACTGCTGAATGGATGGCAGAGCCGGGGGAGGACATTCCACATGCTAAGAATCCTGCAAGCGTATGAAAATCAGCCCCCACTACAGAGTGACCCAACCTGGTGCCGTTACATGCAGTTAGCCTCGGTAACAGACAGACATTTACTGTAGTTGGCAAGACAGGAATGAGACATATTCTGATGAAAGGATCTTGCTGCTAATGGCCCTGAGCAGGACCAGCCCCGCGGGGACAATTATCACAACACTGATAGCAGGAGCAGCAACTGCCTGTGAGAACTGCCAGAATTACCATGCAGTCTGCAGGCCGGCAGGGCCACAGCCACAAAGCCCAAAGATGGATTTTGGAGAGACCTTCAACTAAGTGGGGCCCTCTGGAGGACTGCACTGAGGACACCCCTGTGCTTAGTCTCTTGTCTACTCTGGTGTACGATGTGCTGCTTTCTGTAGTAAAACCAGAAGCCACATTCCCTGCAACAAATTGCAGGAGACACAGCTCCTCCCCTCCTCACCCACCCACCAGCTCCCCTCCAGCTGACAGCTCTCTGCGCATGTTGTCCTCCAGTGTCACAACCAGGACTACAAACCTTCCCAGAGCAAGTGATAGGAGACTCTGACTCTCCCATGCTTCCTTCACAGGCAGTTGTATGCCATAGCTGGGAGTCACACCTTCCTCACTTTCCCTGGTGTGAGCCTGATGGGTACATTCTGCAAAGTCTTCAAGTGACAGCAGTCAACATTGCTGAGCATGTGCACGGTCCATTCTGCCCTCTGAAGCATTTCTGTGTGCTCTGACAGGACACTTTTCCCCTTTTGCTCTCTCAAGCCAAGGGTGGGGGTTAGTCATTGGCAGCCCATCAGTATCCTTTGGAAAGGCTTCACCAGAGATGCTGCAATCCAGATGGCACCTGGAGCTCTGGTTAAATGACCTTCACAGGACAAGAGGTCTTGCTGCCTTCCAGAGACCTGACTGCAACACCTTCGCAGCCTACAGTTTGCAGAGCAGGCTATCAGCCAGGGCAGCCCACGGTGGTGATGCAAGGCTGCATCTCAGCCCTTGTGAGGCACAGTTACAAGGGACAGAACAGACGGCCATGGGCAGGGGAGGGTCAGACAGCCCGCATGTGTAGGAAGTAAAGGGAATTCCACGCAGCACAGAGCCTGCAGTCTGTACCATAAATAAGGAAGGAGGGGGTGCTCAGATGTCAGAACACAATGACAGCGCTTGCACACATGCAGATAGCAGTGCTGCACTGCGCCTGCGCAGGGGCTGCACGACACTTCATGAGAAACCAGGACTTGTCACTAACACGCATGCAATAGATCAGGATGTCGTGAGCGCACGGAGGCCACGCTACACCACACGGAGCACCCATCCATTGCATGTGTGGTAAATTGGAGACCGCCTTGTGTGCAAGTGGCCAGTTGGGCAGACTGTGCTCCTCAGAGAGAGATAGAGGCATGTGTGAGCAGCAAGTGGGGCAAAGAGGTGAAAGAGCCTAGCGTGTAAATAGGGCCAGGCTGTGTACCGCCAGAGGGACAGCACTGAGCACGGGCATAAAACCAGATGAGCTGCGAATGTGCCGAGAGGTAACCATTAATGCCTACAGTAAATCATGACATGCTGTGCATGCGCAGCGAGGCTGTAATGCTGCATATGGGCAGTAAATCACAGTGCACTGTATCTGCACAGCAAGCCTACCCCGAACACGAACAGCGAGAAAGGACGTGCATGTGCAGAGAGCTGCTGGTCCCACGCCGGCACAAAGCAGGGCTTGCTGTGCACTGCCATTTAATGGAGAAAAATTCAGCATGCATACTTTTATCCTGGAAATGAAAGGCACGTAGCTGTGCGGGTCACCAGGCTGAGCAGGGCATGAGGGACAGTGCCCCAGGCACCAGGTGAGGACACGCTGCCAATGCATGAGATGAGGGTCAACGGGGAGATACTGCATGAGATAAAGGAGGAAAGGAGCACGGTCATATCACTGTGAAAAAAGGACCAGATTTAGAGTAACATGAAAAGAGCTTAAACAGCAAGCAAATTCAGCTGACACGCCCCCCAGAAAAGGAAAGAGATTCAAACATACAGACTTCTGAGGCTCTGAGCAGGTTTTGAAGGAAATCCAGCTCCAAGATAGGAAGGCAAATGGAAACGATTTATCACAGATACATTCTGTCAGTTTAATTTAATGATCTTCTCTCATAAGTAACTTCTTAGACAAGATTATGCAGCACATTTAGGCTGGTTGGAGAAACAGGAACCAGTTTCCAGTGACGGGAGTGGTGGGTATGGTTACAGTGGAGGAACCAGCTAATCAAGTAAATGATGGTTTGTATTAACAAGGGTGTCTCTGAGTGAAGAGGTATTTCTAGGATTTTGTCTCCACCCCTAGTATTGGAGTGACCCCATGAATACCAACAGCAAACAGTTCAGGGATGAGAGCGAGGCTGAGCTTTCAAGAGGGACAGAGCTGCACCATTAGCAAGGCACTGGGAAGATCTCACCCACAAGATCTGCCCAAGCATGCCGCTTTAAAGATAGCCCTCCCCAAAACTGTGTAAAGGACAGAACTCATCACAAGTGTAGACTGAAAATTAGGTGGAAGCATATGAGCACAGATGTTTTGGGACAGTTTCCAAAGAGGGCAGCAGGAACAAGAAACTGCTTTGAGATGATGCTGGGGAAGTACACCAAAGGAACTGAGCAAGGGTGGTCTCTGAGTCAGGAGCTGAAGCTGCCCCTTGCATCAAACATGCTGGTCTCCACGAGATTTGAAAGGAGGCATTCAGCCGCACCATGTGTGTGCCATGTGTGCACAACACGTGCTACGCTGCACGTTTTGCTGGTAGCCTGCAGGGGTCGGGAACAAATTTCTCCACTCTGCTATAAACTTTGTCAGCTGAGGTTTTGTTTGATCCTTCTCCTGCAGCACTGGAGATTGCCGTGGCTGGAGACAGGACACAGGGCACTGTTCTCAGAAACATCCAAGCAACTCAGGCATCACTGATAGGGCTGGGGTTTAATCTGATCACCAGGCTTAGGTTTAACAGCACTTCTGCAGGCCAGAGAGGCAGGGAGGGGGGGCATCGATGATGGACAACTGTCTACATGGGTTTTACCCAAACCCACAAGGATCAGCTATTGGTGTTCAGGAGCCCTGAGGGCTCGTGCTGGGA